CGACGGTGACGGGCAGCCCTCGAGCCCGGAGGTCCTGGGCCAAGCCCTGCCCCACCTCCCGCCAGAGGTCCTGTGGGGCGGAGACCACGGCCACGTGGGCCCAGCGGAAGAAGCGGAGGAGAGCGTGGAGCACCCCGGCCGGTTCCGGCATGGGACTGACCAAGGTGTCCAACCCTTCGACGTCACCCAAGCAAGCCCAGGAGACCATGGGTTTGTTCCAAGCGGTGGCCAGGAGCCCGGCAGCCCCGCAGGTGGCCGGGTTGAGAGGTCCCACCAGACCGGTGGCGTAACGTTCAACGTTGAGGAGCCCCGTCACGGCCTGGGGGGTCCGACACGCCTCGGTCAACACCACCGCGTCCCACCAGTAGCCTTCGTTGAGGGTTGGGTCGCGGTTGAGACGGGTGACAGCCAAGCGAGATGCCACCTCGGGCAAAGCGCGGGCGAGGACGGGGTCGCAGGTCCAAGGACCCATCACCCCCATCTTGAAGGTGGCCCCCTGTGTTGGGGGTGGGTGGAGGAGGAGGAGGAGGAGGAGCAGGAGGAGGTGGGGAGGCCACCGGGGGTGGTGGGAGAGGCAGAGGAGGAAGCTGGCGGAGATGGCACTGTGGCAGGAGGGGATGGTTTGGGAGGTGCCACCGCTGTGGGAGGTGCCACCATGGGAGATGCCACCATGGGAGATGCCACCACCGTGGGAGATGCCACCACCATGGGAGTTGCCATCATGGCAGATGCCACCGTGAGAGTTGCCGTCGTGGGAGACGCAGCTGGTTTGGGTGACACCACGACTGTGGGAGATGCCACCACCGTGGGAGATGCCACCATGGGAGATGCCACCACCATGGGAGTTGCCATCACGGGACACGTCACTGCGGGAGGTGCCATCGTGGGAGACGCAGCTGGTTTGCGTGACACCACGGCTGTGGGAGATGCCACCACCATGGGAGATGCCACCACCATGAGAGTTGCCACCACCGTGGGAGATGCCACCACCGTGGGAGATGCCACCACTGTTGGAGATGCCACCATGGGAGATGCCACCAACGTGGGAGATGTCACTTTTCTGGGAGATGCCACCACCATGGGATGTGCTGCAGGCATGGGAGATGCCACCAGCCTGGGGGATGGCCTTAAGGGTGGTGCCACCACCAGGGATGATGCCGTCACAGGAGATGCCACGACTGTGGGAGGAGCCACAACGGTGGAAGATGTCACCAAGGGAGATGCCACGCTTGTGGGAGACACCGTTGCTCTGGGAGACGCTGTCATGGGAGATGCCACCACCACAGGAGATGCCACCACTGAGGGAGACGCCGTCATGGGAGGTGCCACCACCATAGGAGATGCCGCCGCTATGGGAGATGTTGTCATGGGAGATGCCACCACCATAGGAGTTGTCACCCTTCTGGGAGATGCCACCACCATGGGACATGCTACCGGCGTGGGAGATGCCACCAGCCTGGGAGATACAGCCACGGGAGATGCCACCCCAAGAGGAGATGTCATCGCTGTGGGAGATGCCACCATGAAAGAAGCCACCACTACAGGAGACAATGTCACGGGGGATGCTGCCAATGTGGGTGACGCCACCACAGCAGATGTCACAGCAGGAGATGCCACCTTGGCAGAAGCCACCAGAGAAGAAGTCATCGTACGAGGTGCCACCGTGGGAGATGCCACCACGGGAGATGTCACGGCAGGAGATACCACCTTGGCAGAAGCCACCGGAGAAGAAGTCATCGTAGGAGGTGCCACCGTGGGAGATGCCACCATGGGAGATGTCACCACGGCAGATGTCACCATGGGAGATGTCACCGTGGGAGATGCCATCATGGGAGATGCCACCATGGGAGATGTCACCATAGGAGATGCCACCATAGAAGATGCCACCACGGCAGATGTCACCATGGGAGATGTCACCACAGGAGATGCCACCACGGGAGATGTCCTCCACCCACACACGTGTGCTGGGACATCACCTGGCCCACACACGCGTGTGCCACAACATCTACACCCGCACACACATGTGCCAGGACACGGCCTGACCCACACACGCGTGTGCCAGGACATCTCCACCCACACACGTGTGCTGGGACATCACCTGGCCCACACACGCGTGTGCCACAACATCTACACCCGCACACACATGTGCCAGGACACGGCCTGACCCACACACGCGTGTGCCAGGACATCTCCACCCACACACGTGTGCTGGGACATCACCTGGCCCACACACGCGTGTGCCACAACATCTACACCCGCACACACATGTGCCAGGACACGGCCTGACCCACACACGCGTGTGCCAGGACATCTCCACCCACACACGTGTGCTGGGACATCACCTGGCCCACACACGCGTGTGCCACAACATCTACACCCGCACACACATGTGCCAGGACACGGCCTGACCCACACACGCGTGTGCCAGGACATCTCCACCCACACACGTGTGCTGGGACATCACCTGGCCCACACACGCGTGTGCCACAACATCTACACCCGCACACACATGTGCCAGGACACGGCCTGACCCACACACGCGTGTGCCAGGACATCTCCACCCACACACGTGTGCTGGGACATCACCTGGCCCACACACGCGTGTGCCACAACATCTACACCCGCACACACATGTGCCAGGACACGGCCTGACCCACACACGCGTGTGCCAGGACATCTCCACCCACACACGTGTGCTGGGACATCACCTGGCCCACACACGCGTGTGCCACAACATCTACACCCGCACACACATGTGCCAGGACACGGCCTGACCCACACACGCGTGTGCCAGGACATCTCCACCCACACACGTGTGCTGGGACATCACCTGGCCCACACACGCGTGTGCCACAACATCTACACCCGCACACACATGTGCCAGGACACGGCCTGACCCACACACGCGTGTGCCAGGACATCTCCACCCACACACGTGTGCTGGGACATCACCTGGCCCACACACGCGTGTGCCACAACATCTACACCCGCACACACATGTGCCAGGACACGGCCTGACCCACACACGCGTGTGCCAGGACATCTCCACCCACACACGTGTGCTGGGACATCACCTGGCCCACACACGCGTGTGCCACAACATCTACACCCGCACACACATGTGCCAGGACACGGCCTGACCCACACACGCGTGTGCCAGGACATCTCCACCCACACACGTGTGCTGGGACATCACCTGGCCCACACACGCGTGTGCCACAACATCTACACCCGCACACACATGTGCCAGGACACGGCCTGACCCACACACGCGTGTGCCAGGACATCTCCACCCACACACGTGTGCTGGGACATCACCTGGCCCACACACGCGTGTGCCACAACATCTACACCCGCACACACATGTGCCAGGACACGGCCTGACCCACACACGCGTGTGCCAGGACATCTCCACCCACACACGTGTGCTGGGACATCACCTGGCCCACACACGCGTGTGCCACAACATCTACACCCGCACACACATGTGCCAGGACACGGCCTGACCCACACACGCGTGTGCCAGGACATCTCCACCCACACACGTGTGCTGGGACATCACCTGGCCCACACACGCGTGTGCCACAACATCTACACCCGCACACACATGTGCCAGGACACGGCCTGACCCACACACGCGTGTGCCAGGACATCTCCACCCACACACGTGTGCTGGGACATCACCTGGCCCACACACGCGTGTGCCACAACATCTACACCCGCACACACATGTGCCAGGACACGGCCTGACCCACACACGCGTGTGCCAGGACATCTCCACCCACACACGTGTGCTGGGACATCACCTGGCCCACACACGCGTGTGCCACAACATCTACACCCGCACACACATGTGCCAGGACACGGCCTGACCCACACACGCGTGTGCCAGGACATCTCCACCCACACACGTGTGCTGGGACATCACCTGGCCCACACACGCGTGTGCCACAACATCTACACCCGCACACACATGTGCCAGGACACGGCCTGACCCACACACGCGTGTGCCAGGACATCTCCACCCACACACGTGTGCTGGGACATCACCTGGCCCACACACGCGTGTGCCACAACATCTACACCCGCACACACATGTGCCAGGACACGGCCTGACCCACACACGCGTGTGCCAGGACATCTCCACCCACACACGTGTGCTGGGACATCACCTGGCCCACACACGCGTGTGCCACAACATCTACACCCGCACACACATGTGCCAGGACACGGCCTGACCCACACACGCGTGTGCCAGGACATCTCCACCCACACACGTGTGCTGGGACATCACCTGGCCCACACACGCGTGTGCCACAACATCTACACCCGCACACACATGTGCCAGGACACGGCCTGACCCACACACGCGTGTGCCAGGACATCTCCACCCACACACGTGTGCTGGGACATCACCTGGCCCACACACGCGTGTGCCACAACATCTACACCCGCACACACATGTGCCAGGACACGGCCTGACCCACACACGCGTGTGCCAGGACATCTCCACCCACACACGTGTGCTGGGACATCACCTGGCCCACACACGCGTGTGCCACAACATCTACACCCGCACACACATGTGCCAGGACACGGCCTGACCCACACACGCGTGTGCCAGGACATCTCCACCCACACACGTGTGCTGGGACATCACCTGGCCCACACACGCGTGTGCCACAACATCTACACCCGCACACACATGTGCCAGGACACGGCCTGACCCACACACGCGTGTGCCAGGACATCTCCACCCACACACGTGTGCTGGGACATCACCTGGCCCACACACGCGTGTGCCACAACATCTACACCCGCACACACATGTGCCAGGACACGGCCTGACCCACACACGCGTGTGCCAGGACATCTCCACCCACACACGTGTGCTGGGACATCACCTGGCCCACACACGCGTGTGCCACAACATCTACACCCGCACACACATGTGCCAGGACACGGCCTGACCCACACACGCGTGTGCCAGGACATCTCCACCCACACACGTGTGCTGGGACATCACCTGGCCCACACACGCGTGTGCCACAACATCTACACCCGCACACACATGTGCCAGGACACGGCCTGACCCACACACGCGTGTGCCAGGACATCTCCACCCACACACGTGTGCTGGGACATCACCTGGCCCACACACGCGTGTGCCACAACATCTACACCCGCACACACATGTGCCAGGACACGGCCTGACCCACACACGCGTGTGCCAGGACATCTCCACCCACACACGTGTGCTGGGACATCACCTGGCCCACACACGCGTGTGCCACAACATCTACACCCGCACACACATGTGCCAGGACACGGCCTGACCCACACACGCGTGTGCCAGGACATCTCCACCCACACACGTGTGCTGGGACATCACCTGGCCCACACACGCGTGTGCCACAACATCTACACCCGCACACACATGTGCCAGGACACGGCCTGACCCACACACGCGTGTGCCAGGACATCTCCACCCACACACGTGTGCTGGGACATCACCTGGCCCACACACGCGTGTGCCACAACATCTACACCCGCACACACATGTGCCAGGACACGGCCTGACCCACACACGCGTGTGCCAGGACATCTCCACCCACACACGTGTGCTGGGACATCACCTGGCCCACACACGCGTGTGCCACAACATCTACACCCGCACACACATGTGCCAGGACACGGCCTGACCCACACACGCGTGTGCC